AATTACTATAATAGAACAGCCCTCATACTCAATTGATATTGCTCTAAGCAACGCTGGTATTAAGGAGCATCGTGGAAGAATGCTTCCAGCAGTGCGACGGAGCGTGGTAAAGAATGACGGAAACCCGCATTAAACCCGAGGGGATTGTGCTAAAGGTAAAGTTATACAGTTTGTTGTTTTCGAGCTACTGGGATTCTATCAGTAATATAAAATATCACTGATAGCTCTTGTTGATATTCGTGCTGAATTAAGTCGCCTTTCCACTTGAAGCCTCTGTATATGTGCATGCAGGCGTGTGTAGCTGTTTGTGTGTTGTTTGTAGATGTTCTCCTGCACTTGTGGTCGTGGTTGAACTTGTCGCCAATGGTAAATGGATGCGTGATATCAGTGGACTTGAAGCAATTGTCAGGGTAAGCAATGGGGTGACGTTAGTTGGTGACGGGTCACAACCGCCACGTCACAGTGTTGTTAAAAAGATATTTGTGGCTTTTTATAGGGAGAACGCTTGCAAGGCAAAAACCCACCACCTCCTGAAACACTGCCGCCGAACTATTTGCTGGAACGGGGTGGACCAGAACCAGCCAGCTGGCACCACGAGGAGGTTGTTCGGCTAGCACACGGATACTCGTCCATCGACACCATTCATGTGGCTCCGCTGCACCAACAGACGTGTGTGCCTTAGGTGAACCATACTGTTAGGTCATCATTGTAGTCACGAAGTGCAGCAGGTCCGAGCGTGACCTTTCGGTAGTCCCTAACGTAAGAAGGTCGTTGTACCTCAGGTGGACGGCCTTTAATTCTACCTATTCTCTTTACCTTCCCGTTCGGTTTAGTGTGGTCTCTTGCTAGGTGGTTGTGAGATGAGTATCCAGCCACCTACGTGGCATTTACTTTTCATTGCAGCTACCCAGGTCTAATACGACCTATATACACACTGAACACGGAGGCCCTTGAATTCCACGACCGGACGCACACTAAACGAAGACATTATCATGAAGAGACGATGAGAAGTCGAATGGCTTGGTGTCAGTGCAGGAAGAAACGACGACAGAGCATGAAATCTTTGTGTATTATAACGTACTTGTTCCACAGAATGGCTGTAAACAGCAGACGAGAAGACGCGAAATATCTGAATTCAGATTATCAAAAACGGTTTCATGCGTTATTTACTAACTCGCGTAAGCGCCGCGATCGCTATGACACAAGCGATGCCTTGTCGCTGCACTCTGTGCACCAGTGAGCGTGTTGCCACACACCTGAGGATTAGACGCACGCGATATGTCAGCTCTGGCCGCGCTTGAGGCGGATGTTGTCGAAGTGTTGTGTGAAACGCTGGAGTCACCGCATTCTGCGGGCACAACCCGCGCACAACGACATCGGGTAAAGGCAGCGGTTCATGACTGCATTTGGTTAAACGAACCCTGAATGCACACTAAAGACTTCACTGACGATTCGATTGCACGTGCGTACACACAGTAGTGTGTGTACCGTGTGTGTGCCGTGATTCCACCCGAATGTGCTAAGTGGGTTCTCAACCGACCCAGTGACCTCGTGATGTATCCCATTTCCCTTACCGGACCACTTGTTGACAATGATGCTGAGTCACGTGAACGCGTGCTCATGGTACTGCCTTCACTATGCGCGTCATGGTGTATTCGCTCCATTTGAGAACAATACCAGGATCACCTCCGAATGCTGTCACTGTATATGGTTCTCTTATGCCTCCAACAAATTTTCGTGGTGAAGAATAGATAGCAAGTAAGTGTTTTATCTACGATTGATGTGGCATAGAGCCGTCAGAACATGCATTAGCGTATCGGACAAAACAGGCAAGTCAGCGGACAGCATTGGGAGAACGTGTCAGGCCGTTCACACGATCGGCGGCCTCATGCACCACAAGAGAGCAGTGGGCGGGAGTGGTTCAGGCTCAAAGCCGCGCGACTACGTTGGACTTTTATGCACAAGATCGCCAGGTCTAACAAAAAATCGACAGTCGAAGCGTAAAGCTCCTTGGGAAATGCGCTTCAAATCAGTGGGAAATGGAGCGTTACGCCAAACAACCAAGGTCTTTGGACAAAAACGGTGCTTTAGTGGTGAAGTAATGCGTGCAACTTTCTTTGTGGCAGCTGGCCATGACTGTGAGGAAATATATCAGCCCATCCTTCGTTGCACCCATAATATGACGATGTACCTGCCCCAATGTCGGACACTGAACACTACGTACGAGTGATAGTTGACGAAAGTTCGTTGGTTCGAGCAGAAAACGTGCTAAATGTGATGCTTCCAACCTTACAATCCTGTTAGTTTCGAAACAAGGTTTCTTTCAGTTAATGTTCCCATGTCCACCCATGAATCCCGAAATCGGATGCAGCCTGTCTAACGCCATCAAATGAATTTCTCTTCAAACAGTTTCTTGATGCTCTGGTCACCGCAAAGGATAATCAACAATGAACTATCTGCTGCATCGAGCAGAGTGGATGGGGGTTTGGATGCTGCTACTCAAGCCTTCCCATCTTCTTATTCCCCCCTTACGCTTTTTCTCTCTTACCGACTCGTTCCAGCTTCACTTTTATCCTCCCCCAGTTTTCAACCCCCCGATTCTTGGCCCTCCCCCACCTTGCTTTGCTAGGCCTTGACCTTCTAGTTTCAACTCACATGTGAACGTGGAGCGTTATTCCTTCCTGTCGACTAACCCATGTCCAACCAAACGGCCAAACGCAGTTCATCGACTTCCAGTTGAAGCCCGCGAGTCATGGTGGTCTCATCATGCATCAGAGATGGAAATGGCCGCTGCCCTTGGGAACCATCGTAAGTTATTCCGGCTGATAAGGAAAACGGGCAGCAGAAGACCTGGTGTTAGTGAGTCTATACGTGACGAGAGTGGACAGCCTATCCACAACTTGTCAAAACGCTTAGAGCGTCGGGCTGAGCAATATAAAAGGCAATTTAATCGGTCGGAATTGTTAGATTTCTCGTCAGTAACTGACCGCCCCGCTCCGTGGGCTGTCCCTTTGAATCCACCTTCTCGCTCAGAAGTCGAACGTAAGATCGCACTGTCGCAGTTAAATAAAGCCACGGGACCAGATGATCTTCCATCATCCCTCTTTAAATTCGGGAGACCTGCTCTTGTGGATGATTTACACGAATTACTAGTCAAACTGTGGCAGCAGGAGACCGTCCCAACCGACTGGAGCCGATCCGTCATAGTCCCAATTTTCAAAGGAGGCTCGCGTTCGGAATGCCGTAACCATAGAGGAATCAGTCTGATCTCAATCGCCTCCAAATTACTCGCCTCTGTCATCCTTCACAGACTGACTGGCACTCATGAAAGCCATATTCGTGAAGAGAAAGCCGGGTTTCGTCGAGGTCGTGGCTGCATTGACCACATCTTTAATTTGTGTCAGTTGTTGGAGCACCGTCACACATATTGGCGACCCACCGTTTTCGTGTTCCTCGATATCAAAGGTGCATGCGATTCTGTGGATAAACGTGCACTTTGGGACTGTCTACTCAGTAAAGGTGTGCCCCAGATATATGCAAATATTATCCGATCATTATACGCGCGTAGCTCAGACAGGGTGAGGACTTACGGGAAGTCGTCGTTGCCTTTTAATATCTCCAGCGGTGTGAGACAAGAATGCCTGCTGTCACCTTTCCTCTTCAACTTCGCTATTGACGAAGTCATGCAAATCGCGTTCACAGGACACGACTTAGAAGGTGTGGAACTGCTCCCAGGAGAACGACTTCTTGACTTGGAGTATGCTGACGATATTGCCCTAAGCTGTGACAGCTCCCAGACGTGCCAAGCGGCACTGCACAGATTAGCACTGGCTGTGAACCGCTTCGGGCTTTGCTTTGCACCACCATATGGGTGGTTGTATCAGTACCCGTGGGATTGCAGATGAGATCACGAATCGTATAACAAAAGCTCAAGGAGCTTTTGCTACCTTTCGCCACTTATGGCGGCAGCACGACGTTACTCTCGCCCTGAAGGGTAGAGTGTACAATGCAGCGGTACGTTCGATCCTACAGTAAATTGTAAAATCTGGCCCCTCAGATCAGCGGACATAAAGTGACTAGTTAAGTTCGACCACCGCTGCCTTCGCAATTTAGCTCACATCTGGAGGGAACATCGCGTGAGCAACGAGCGTGTTCGACGCCTTGTTTACGGCCCAGGAAAAGGATCTGAACCGCTCAGCTCCGTTAGTTCACGCATCAGGCTCCGATTGCTGGGCCATGTGTTACTGATGCCAGCCCACCGACTCTCGCGACGTGCGGTTCAGAAATTAGGATCTCATAAGGGTTTGAAACCAACCGATTGGTATGGTTGGATAGCAACGCTACACTTCTGAAAAAAAGCTTCGCTAGGACAAGTGAACCGTGCCGCATTCATGCGTCCACGTAACGGTGTATGTGAACCAGACCAGTTGGTGAGACCGGGCTGTTAAGCGAGAATCGCAGGTGTGCGCGCCGATGGATTTGTTACTGAGTGCAACTTTAAGGTGCCACATAAATTATCTTGAATGCATTACAGTAAACTTATTCACGCTGCTGATTAACGTGATCGCCTTATAAATTCATATGGTCGCGAAGTGTACTGAATGGTTAGCGTATTGCTAAGTGAACCAAGCAGGAGAATAGTAGGCGCAGCCTACCAGTTTAGAAAAGTCTTACGAATAAACGTCCAAACGAGGTATATTTCAGTTGTTGAACGACTGTATTGCGCAAGATGACTAACTTTCTCTACATCGCGTTGAAGGGGTAAAAATAATGCTTCGAATTACCCGACAACTGAGAATAGCTTCCAGCCATGCTTAGCGCCGCTACGATACTCCATGAGGTATGGTAAACATACGTGCGCGTACAAGGCATCGCGCAATGTTTGCGGCCCAAAGTCAGAGAGATGTGTTTGCATTCTACATTTAACTCCCATAGGCTCTGAAATTAGGCATGGTGTTGCGGACGATCCTTTGAGGCATACGCACTCCAAATACTTGGCTTCATAATTCGGTATGATCTTTTAGTAAATCTGATGCCAGAGCTTGTGAAGAAGTCGGCTAGTCAACTCACAAGGATGGTTTAGCCTACATGTATTCGAAAGTTTTGCTATTTCAGAATAAAAGGACCAACAATGTATTCGGTGTTGCCGACTAACTCCCAAGCACAAAGCTCGAAATGCACGAACCAGTTCACCTTCAAACGTAAAACGTCAGTTGTTCTCTCGGGGTTCAACCAATGAGGAGCCGCCTCGTCTTCTTTGTGAGCCTCAAATGGACTTAGGCCAAGGAATAATTGCCATTCCTGAAAAATAGAACAAAATGCAGACAAAGTTTTCCTAAGTACCACAAAAGGAAATAGGTTTTATTGCATAACAGGGAGCATGAATTGGTGAGTTGTGTACTGAAAAGAGTTGAGTCTGGACGAATAACGCAAAGCTTTGTGGAGAGTATCTCCGTCATCATCAATACACGATGACTTAGTGTGAGAAACACACCTCAGCTAATGTGCCGCAATACCAAAAAGATAAGCTATAAAATATTACAACAAATAAAGACTAAAAATGTAATATAATGCCAAATATCATATTACACATCAGGTATGAGATCGTGGTTGGAAAGGGAAGCTAAAGAGGGGGGAGGGACCCAGAAGCTCATACAAAAACGCCGTTGAGTTCGGTTCTTCGCCATGTCAACAAGTCTATCCAACTAAACATGTTCATCGTCCTTCGGACCCCAGCCCCGCAGTCAGGAGACATCAACCGACGTCAACTACAAGTGAGGGTTTTCATTATTCTGAACCAAGTCACCGCTTGGTCTCCCTTCTTTTTCTTCTATTCAAACTCCGGTCACGCAAAGAACGCACGCGACGAGACTGAACGTCAGCGTGGTGCGGTGGTTTGTGTGCATCAGCCATCTATTGCGCAATTCTGGGTGGTGCATTTTGAACCTTCAGAGCCACGCATATCAGATTGGTCAGTGGTGAGAGGCCAGAAAATTTAGTTTTCTGGCTCTGCAAGTTGGAGTCATGGTGGCTTTTATTTCATAAAACGGACTCTTTGTGGCCCAGTGCCAAAATCCTGCTGCCTTGCCGTCAGGTTTTTGAACTTAAAGGCTTTGGATGAGAGCCCTAATCGTTCTTCTGTCTAGGCTTGGGCAATCTGACAGTATCTGCCCACACAACACAATTCATATTTCCTCAAGCACTTTCTTTTTGGAGAGTAGTAAAACCACTGGACTCAAGGTAGGTGGAGGAAAGGATACTCGGACCTGATAATATCACATACCTCTTCAGCGATTGCCTCAGGACGTAAGCAACGAACCAGATGCATCGTGAACGCGAGCCGATCCGATTTAAACAAAGACTCGGAGACGTGGGCGTACACGAGAGCCTCCAGGCGCTTCAACAAGAATGAAGTGCGATCTGTCGATGGCTCCTGAAGAGAAAGAGAGGAACAAGTAGTGTTTCAAGCCATGTAGCGTATGAGAACAGGCGGCGCCCTGATGTGTACAATGCTCATTTGTTTCTCTTACCACACTGACATACTAAGTGTTCGTTCTCCCATATTTAGCGAGGTAATTCCTCTTACAAATGTAAGTTTCTGGCAGTAGTGGAGAGTAGAGGAAACTGCATCCTACTTCGTATCCTAACATGCCCACCGGGAGATCATACAAGGTTCGATGATATCGAAGAGAAATCAGTGGAGGACGGGTGATGAGGCAGTGCAAAGAAATCGACGACGGAGTGGAATAAATGATAAGCAACGGATGGGATTTGTACTATCAGGGCGGAAGTACAGCTGTTTTTGCTTGATATGCGACAGAGGGTAGATGTCCACAAGGAGCTGTGCGTTAAGTCAAGACCGAGCTATGCCTACACCCACGTCTTACCTTCGAGGTCTCCGAACACCACAGTCTGTTGATTTGAACCCGTCATCCGCTGCAGCCTAAGTTGATATGAAATGCATTACGGACCAAAACCCGGGCTATTTGTAGTGTTCATGGGAACTGTGTCACAATGGAAACTCTAACCCAAATCTTACGGCTGCCACCTAATGACAGAGTATGTTCGATTTCAATCATCATTGAGTTTTGTGTCCGTGAGGCGTGTAACGTAGCCATCCTTATACACTGGGCTTAGCTTGTGCATTGTATGTGTCAAATCCTGCCGGTCCTACACACACTCTGGTATTTTCTCCACCTGATGGGCCCTAATTGAATCATAACAAACCGAGCGTAGCGTCAACCGGCATCTATAGACAGTTCCATGTAAGTAGCTGCGACATCTTTGAGCGTCTACGGGAATGTAGCTCAACATACGTTGCATACTGCCACAAAGAATATATGTATAGAGGATTAGTAGACACCATTCGACACCCTGAAACATCGTATATTTCCAGCTAGATTAACAGGCTGCACCAGGTGATGATTCGTTATAGTGTATACACTTGAAGTTGGATACTTTAGGTGGTCAATCAGCATCATGAGCGGGTATAATTTTAGGGAGCGAATAGAAGGAAAGGAGGACTGTCGTTTCTCTGTAAAAAAAACAAAGAAATCTGCACCACCTTTACTGGAAGTCAAAGGATGCTGAGACTTAAAGAATATCGACTGCAAAAGGAAAGTGACCAATTATGTGAGACATGTGTACCTAAGAGGACGTAAAAGCCACTCACGTTTGGTGCCTCCAACGCCTTTTGGAACAAATGTAGGAAACCGTCCAGACTGAATTGATACATCCAGTTGACTCGAACGAGGTCTATGAGGGCAAAGTACACTCGACTTCCTGCTTCTGCCAGTGGTTGAAACGTATTGCGCTCCTGTGGAAGAGGCGACGAGTTTGTAGACCAAGCGATTAGCTGTTTGGTGCGATAGGCGCTGAAATTTATTTGATTTTAGCTTACTAATCAGTGGTTGGGATTCTTGGATAATTCAGGGGTAATTCATCACAGTTCACTCTCAGTCAGCATGCTTTGGCACGTCTGGCAAAGCACCGGACAGCGCTGTTTCGACATACTCAGTCTAGACAGTGGTGTGTTTTCCTCGAACTCCTGCTGGCTTCCGACCCCATGAATTCCGGATGCCAGTAGCTAGTGCCAATAAGCCATGGGTGACGACTGCGGATCGGTACGACTGACAGTTGACTGTTATGTAGCTCGGATCACTTTCCATCGCCATGCCAGTAACGAACTGTGCAGAGGACAGCAGTTAGCCCCACGAGCTAGGACTTTCCGTAGAGCGACTGTGTACAACACAGTACTTAGAAGCTATACGGATGGACTAATCGTAATTTATCCAGAGCACGTCTCAAGTAAGCTGATAGAACCCAGTGGCTTCGTTACTCGTGGTTCATGCGATGACGAACGGGTAGGTAATTTTAAGCATTTTTCTAAATGCGATGGGAAACGCACCGTTATGGTGTGATTTGAATCCTTCCTTACTTCTCACTTGCGCACTTTTGAAAATTCATAGGCTTTGCAATGGCCAGTGATGTCCGTTTCCAGATCAGGAAGATAGATTCGCAAAAATTAATTATTCAACTACCAAAAAGTTGATTGCATGTAACAGTTGTAATATACTTTCATGGTGCGTCTCGATAGCGGAGGACAACAACACTCTGGGTGACTTACTTTGTCTAGCTCTTTCTGTAGCCGAGTGAACTCGACTAGCGACGACGCGATTGTCATGCTTGATTGCTTGGTTTTGTTTAGTGATTGTAGCAGGTCCTTGTTCTCCAGGATGTCACCCTGAGCACTTGCCAGTTGCTGGTAGACGGTTGGAAAATGAACAATTGTATTTCGTTGGGGTCAATAGGGCGGAAAGAATGAGAGACATCTGAGTTCGTTCTGCGTAAACCAGCTCCCATTTGCAAAAGAGTAAAAGAAGGGTCTGTCTGTTTACTTTTAAATTTGTGCGTACCACAATTCCTTTAGCATGCACCGAAGTTCAATAGCCTAGTATCATTTTATCAACGTGCCAGCGCTTGTGTTGGGCTAAAGAAAGAGAGCTTTGAGGGTTGTTCGGTGCCCCAGAACAATAACGGATGTGAAAGTGTCAAAGATCAATACCGTATTTGTCGGCCAAGTGCTGGGACACATTTCCCTAGAGTTTCTTAGAAACAAAGTAGTGCTTGTGCTTCGGAACTTTATAACTGTCCACGGTTTGCGATTGCTATTCATAAGGCAACGCGAAAGCACTTCCATAGCACAGTCCCTTTACTTGTTCAACCGTAGCAACAATAAGATTAACTAATCTTGGGCCACGAAGCTAATCGAACATAGGCATCCGTTTGCCACCGGTGAACACAACTGGATAGCTCATGATAAAAGCAGAAAACCGCTTTGCTTTAGGGACACGATCAAAGGCGTGTTTGTGGTGGGACGGAAAACACATACTTCCAGAAGAGTGTCCTCCAGAGTGGCAAGTTCCAACTTTAAATCTTCTTCTTTGCGGACCAGCTCTTGTCTTCTTTGTCCTAATTCCGGGCGCTCGTGATTCACGCTGAGCTCCAGCAAACGATCGGTCAGCCCAGCTGGAGTTGTGACAAAGTTGACAACCGTCACCAGAGCCGCAGCACTTGCCGGGCGAACAGCTCCATCCCTGCTTGGTGTCTCACGTGTGCACAAGATTAAACGGAAGTCAGGGTGGAAGTCAAGTGTTTTATCACCTAGAGTCACAGTAGAGCGGACACCTGCAAAATGGGAAAGTACTGATCATGGATTCAGTGGTAGCGAATTACAAGTTAATTCAGTTCAGTTAATCAATCATGTTTCATTCACCTGATAGGTGGATTCAGTTGCCGTGTCTCGCGAATCAAGTATAAAAATGGGAGATCCACGATGAAAGATCCTGGGAAGAACTATTCACATGAATCGTGAATGTCAACAGTCGAGAGAAACAGTTCCGCTCTCTTATCCACTAAAGTTGCACGGCATATGATGCTCTGAACTGATGTGGCGAATCTAGAAGCCCCTACGGGAAACCGCTGGGTACCAACCCAACCAACTCCTTTGGTCGGCCTAGTAAGGCTCTCGCGTTATGCCTCCAACTTGACGCTGGACTTTTCATACCAACGAAGTTGGTGATAAGCAGATAAATGCACACAGATCAAGTAGGATTGCATGGTCAACAAGGGGCCCCGAAAAGTAGCAGTGGGTTTGCTGCTAAACACCAACTGGCAGACATAAACAGCAATAACTCTGCGATCCAACAGAGATGGTTAATGCTGTGTTAGTACAGGAGGGGCAAGGCGACGTGATCTGTCAGTGTCTTGAATGGGTAGCAAATGTGATGACATTGCTAAATACGATAATAGTGGCTTTACTACCATGCACTGTGAAGTACTTTAAAGAAAGTGCAATCGCCGGATCATCAATAGAAACGACGCATTACTAAACGCTCCGTGCCAAAGTACACAAACCGGGTGCCGTTCGCACCCTATGTTCGCATGAACAAACCGTGTTATGTTGCGCTCCGCATCTGATTGTTCATTGCTGACTGATCGGGCCCAACTGTCTACCGGTGGTTCGACTACTTGCGATCACGGTTACTTTATTGTGCCATCAAAAGTCACAGTGATGATAAGTGACTAGCGGCGTCTCCAACGCCCTTCTGCCTAATCGAGATTTCTGAATCTTCAGCTACCAGCTCATCATGTCATCTAACCCACCATTGAGAAAAGTACGTAAGAACTCGTGAATCAAGCAAACCGATTAAACAAGTTTCACTATGTACTCTCATCCAGTAAGCCAACACTTAGATTCCACTTAACTATAGACACGCGAATGTTTGGCTAGCAAAAAAAAGGTCAACTTACCTCGGGATCCAAAGTTCCTCGATAATAAAGGGAATAATATGGGTTCGATTTCATCGACTTCTTGAACAATGAGGAGTTTTCCAAATCGAACCGACAGTTCGAGAGTTGTAATGAAGTTTGAACTCTGGAGGTATAAGGGTCATGCAAACAGTGCGGGCGGAGAAACTGATAGGACTAAATGAAACCTGCTCGGAATGATCCGGAAAAGAGCTGGAACCTAGAGACACAAAACACTGCAGCTTAAAACCGAAAAAGGAAGCTCTGCATGCGCAACAAATATTCCGAGAGTTACCTAGTTGCTTGGTTGACCACTTAGCTGAATCCCTATGTTCGCGCTAGAATCTGATTGTTGGCGTTAACGAAACTACCGAGTAGAAAATGTCACCGAACTAAATAATCTGGTGGGACCTGAAACAATGAATATTAGCCAAACAAGGTTTACAGTTGCATGAGTAATGACCGGTTACTTCGGGTTTTCCTGCAGTAACTAAAGCTTGCGTGAAAAATAGCGCGTGTTGGAGAAACGTTCCTAGCGCGGATTAGACTCGGTAACAGTCCGGATTTTCGAGATTTAGCTGGACCAATTTTAAAGTGGTTGACGATTGGCAAAGCAGACGGAAGATGGGTTATGAAATCGATTAGCCAGCAAAATACAGCATGGTATAGTAATGAATAAAATAGACAGAGGAGAAGTGCTGTGATGAAAATCTCCAAGCATCTGACTGGATGGTTAGGCTTGACCAGCACATGAAAGTGGATTTTACAGGAGATGGAGAAAGAGGGAGACAACGAATACAATGTGTTGAGGACTTGGTATATCTTACTATACATGTGGGTCAACAACAGCTGTTTTATGCCGTGGCTACGGGGCTCCAAACCACGATCATGATGAAGTGGCCCATTTGAAATCAGATTCCGAGTTTGCGATTAGCCTGCCGTTCCAACACAAGCACCTCTCTGGTGATCTCAATTTGCCATTGAGCAACTAGCTGGAAGGCGATACATCAACAAGGTTCCGTACAACTATAACTTACATTAAAGAACAGTTGAGAATAGCTTATATCATCTCCCACTAGGAGCCACAATGAAACCGAGTTAATTTCCAGTTGCGATACACCGCATGCAATCGTAGCCACATTCAGCAACTTTCCGGGTAGCAATCATCTGGTGGCTCAATGTAAATTCCAAGTTCGAATTTGTGTTTTTAGTTCCAGTGACTCGAGATATAACTTGCCTAATTAACTGCGAAGGTTTCGTCCTCGCAGATTGTTATCACCATGCGACAGATCCGTTTAATGACAACGTGAGTTACTGTACCGAAAACGCGGCGCCACTGTGATATGCGCGTCGTCTGAGAAGGCGCAGCAGTCATATCACACTAAAGGTAAATCGTTTGATAGACATAAGCACAAGTTTCCCTCTTATTTTAACACACATCTACCATGTAAATAATCAAATATCAGCAAGCAACACTTCCAAGAGGATAGTATAATGCTCTGGGTGGTAGGAACAGATTTCCGGGCATATCAACCCGCAGCAGTGCTCACCGCAGTGGCCAAATCGACCTATTGAAATTTATGATCAAGCAGAATGGGTCATACACTGAAAATATTGCGGATATTTGCGAAGCTCTCAGCACTTAGTTTGCTGTAGCCTTAGTAACGGAACCAACACCTATACCAACTAATCTTGACGCACCTATCAATACATACATTTGTAACGTCGAGTTTACCGCTGCAACTATAATGGCACAAATCTCTAGACTGGACTCATCATTAAGAAGCATAAGGGTACCCCAAGCATTATTAAAAACGTTGCTATGATGTCTCTGCGCCCTTTTTGAATATGTTCAGGCAATCACTTGAAAATGACACATACGAAATGCAATGGAAAACATTAAGTAATGTTCCCAACTAGAAAAGTGGCCAGCTCATGATGTTATGAACTGCCGGCCAATAAATCAATTGAAAGAAAAATGCGTGGTCAGGTAGTCACTGGAAACCCAATTCACAAATTTCAGCATGATCTACTGCGACATGTGAATTGGATTTCTTTAACCACGCAACAACGGCTATCGATGCGTAAAGCTTTCGACTGAGTGCCAGATTTAATGCTTCTAAACAATATGCAGTTTAGTGGCATCACGGAGTTGTTACGCTCTTGGCTGTCATCTTACCTCTACGACTGAAAACAAGTGGCGCAAGCAGGCGGTTGTGGTCACTAGTGGAGTCATTCAAAACGCGCTCCCGGCCCGACATATATAACAGAAGTAAGAAGGCGAACGCACTCCTGTTTGTAGATGACATTAGAGTTATCTATCCACACAAATCACCGGAACAAAGGACGTTTCATGACACATTAAGGGCGACTTGTCTACCCTAGAAAAATGGTCATTATATATATATATATATATATATATATATATATATATATGGTTGGCGGCATTCGGTTTCGGATTTGTCTGTCACTGTGGCCAGCCACAGTGACGGTGCGAGTCCGTCCGATTGTTTAATGTCGTAAACACCTAATTCGTTGATGTTTACCGACATTCCACACATTTCCTGTAAATATAAGTAAAGAAATGAATAAATGAAATTCTTCACTGTACACGAGAAATACCATCGAAGGCCTGATCAGTTTGTACAACTAGCAATTGTCTGACTATGAGGGCAATAGTTTTATTCATGACTAAATTGGTGTGCTGTCCAATGGTGCCACTAGTGCGTCGGGGAAGACTGAAAGCTAAGCGCATTGTCGCGTCAAGTCAAATCAAGAAATCGTTTTTATGTACCCATGAAGAGTGAATATGGAGTTTTAACACACACGCGATCGAAACCGTAAAGCGAGCAACACTGTAACCTTACAATGTGCTCCTGGCATTATGCTTCCCTTTAGCAGTAAAAGCAGCCTAATTAAAGCCTACGGGTTTATTGGAAGCCACTCATGAGGCGATAACAGCTTTTGTGGCGTTAGCAATACGGCGCTTATCGACCGATCATCATATACGGCCAGGCTGATTTTCTCAGTTGCACAGCGACACACTTCGCAGGAAACCCTTTGCTGGCTTTTCCCCTGCATGAAGGTCGACTACGGATCGATCGAAGTATGACACGTTTAGTGCGGCTATGTGGTGTCAGGCTCATGTCCAGTTCTCGCAACTGAACGGCGTGCGTTCCCTAGGTTTTACCATGCGGTAGAGCCAAGACGCATTCATTACGATTGTGATGTCTGGCTAACGTTCGTTTCTCACAGCCAAACGGCTCGGTGTGCTCTGCGATCGCAGGCATCCATGTGGCGTCTGTGTCTCATCGCAAACCCGCAGGCAAAACAATTTGCGCCATTGGACAGTTAACAATTCAGCGTACCGGTTGTATGTCAGCACCTGAGTGCAGCCGCTCCTAGCTCCGGACCATATTATCAACACACCCGGTAGATATATGGCAGATATCGATTGCTGTAGACAAATGTGATGTCTTTACATATAAGTGTGAAATCCCATGGAATAGCGTAGTTTAGAATGGTACGTAAACAACAGAATGCGAGATCATACACGATTTAGGCGTCAGAGACTCATAGTTATGCAATTTTCCTAAACAATCCGAGTTCTACATATTAAACGCAGCAAATACAGGTGGGTTCATATTCATAGATGCTTGACAAAGCAGACTAGGCTTTGATTAAAAATAAATATTAAATGTTTATGGAATAGTCAGAGCCCTCAAAAACCGCGGAATGAACGTGCATAATAAGCACAGAGATCACAAATTGGGAAACAGACGTAAAAGTATTTACTCGTTTTTCACAGACCATTTTGTCTTTTTCTGCCAGGTTAGTTATTACGGCTCTGACAAAAAGAATCAATGCATGGATTCACGCAAAATTTCATTTTTTCCTATTCCGCAACATGTCCTTATGAGTCTTCAACCAGCCGTGTTATTCATGGTTGAGTTCCCAGCCCGGAAGACGTACAGGACAGACAACAGCTAGACTGGAAGTTAGTGACTTGACGATTTGTCCCCATGTGGTAGGCTAACCACCGCTTCAGTGCACCAGCGAATAGAGTGCACCGTGGTTAACTCTCACATGGTATGCGTAGTAGGGGACTTAGCTACCTTAGTTAGCGCAACGGTATTAGCTTGTCGAGAGGGAGGCCCGTAGTACCTATGCGCGATGTCTAACATCGTCGTTGGAAACGTAGTGTTTCCACCACAATGAGCTATTCTGCGTATACGACATTGCCAAAAGACGAAATCCGACGCAAGTCATTTACACTGGTCGGCTAGGACTCACTTGCGTACATCAGTACCGCGCGAACATAGGCCTTGTAAGGCCTGCCCATTACCCAGATTGAAGCATTACGACGACGCCACAGATGCGTAAAATTAGGGAAAGCTGATCGAGCTTTGACAATACGGAGAGAAATCTGTCTTGCAATGGTGTCACCAACCGAAACGCAGCTCCCAAGCTGTCTATTTGTTAGAGCTGCGCACCTTCAAGAATCAGCACTGGCGCAGGTGGATGACAATACTGGAGTAGGAGTTTGCATTTCGATGGGGTGAAGGTCATGCCATACTTGGTGGCTTTAATCACCAGGCCATTTGGTAAGGCAATGTCTTGAACATAGTCCACGTCAGTCGCGTGGTTGCCTGGAAGAAGCACTCCACCAAAACCCTGGAGACCTTCCAAAGCGCTTAATCGGACATCCTCAATCGCAAATGGAAGAGAAACGAAAACATCGGACATCCCTATGGCATATTTCTAGTGACAGCGAAACGTGAAGAGAGTTTACCGTAAGTCTTCATTCTGCCACACACATTGCTGTATAAGGCTTGTATGATGGCGGAATACTTTTCGGGTACCCCATTCGTTTGTAGACAACGCCATGAAGCAGGACGATAGACCGAGTCGAACACAGCTCCGATGTCCAGAGGGGCAAGAGTGGTACCCTGGAGGTAAAGGTGACGTTGCTCGAGGAGTTGGCGGAGGGTAAACATGTGATCAACACACCCTCGAGCGAGGCGGAATCCAGCTTACCATTATGGGAGTGTAATTCGCGAATCGGTGTTAGTCTGTGAATGGATGGATGTAGATGGATGTTAGTAATTTGGAGGCGACGCATACTAGTCTGATTCCTCTGTGGTTGGCGCATAATGTGCAAGCGCCCATTTTGAAGATGAGTACGATACTCGACTCGCCCCAATGAGATGGAACTTTCTTTTCACACCATATATTGGAGAATAGAGCTATTAACTGGTTGATAATTGCCTTACCACCGTACTTAAACAGCTCCGAAGGAAGTCTATCTGAGCCAGCAGCTTTGAATCGCTTTAAGTGACGAAGCTCAAGCAGATCTTCGCTTCGGTGGGTGGTTGCAGTGAAATGTTCCAAGGCGTGCAACTAGGCACACGTGTTAGACAGCCGGGATGAAGAGGACAACTGAATTGCGAGTGAAGGTGCTCAGCCCAGCGGTCCATGCGCCTACGATTGGTGATCCATCAACCTCGCAACTAACCTCACTGACACCAGGTCTTCTGTGGCCCGTGGTCCGAATGACCCGGAAAAGCTAGCGAAAAAGACCATATAAAGCTGCTGTTTCCATTTCTAAAGGACGCTGAAACTATAAAGATTTGCAACCGTTTCGCAAGCTCTGTTTGTGTGGCTGGCCAAGGTTGTGGCGGACTTCACCTCAGCTTAAATCACCTGGGATAGCTCAGCGACGGTAAAGCAATTCCAAAGAGCGAGCAGAGATCCCACATCTCAGCGGACGCCCAGTGATTCCACAGAATGATTGACCGGAAGAAAGCAACATTTTCCGCAACAAGCACCAACGATGTTTGACATCTGGTGCTGGAGCACCAGCGAGCGCATCTGATAAGGAGGAATGATAAACCAGTTGAATGGAGGGGCTAGGTAGCCTGTTGGTATCCAGCGTACGGTCCTTTGATTTCGAGGAACCACTAAAGTGCATGTTGATTTCCGCACAGACCAGAGCGTGAATTGCGCCGAGGTAGGTAGATTAACCTGATTTTCAATCCTGTACGGTACGCTGCCATCTGAAGTTGATTGCAATGTGATCAATTTGTGACCATGCTTGCATTGGCGAAAGGGGATGCCAGTTGGCATCATGTCTCCTTGAATGTTTGAAGTTCGTGCTCAGACAGAAAGGGCCGATTGTCCTCGTATAACGCGAGAAGTCTAGCTCCGTTATCAGTGGTACTCCGATCAATGGCATGAAGAACACCAAGATAATGTTTGCATGGCAGTATGCGACTGACACGTGCATTGAAATCTACGACAAGGAAGATGACGTCAGACTTCTCGGCTTTAAACAAAAACCAGTGGATTCGCAATAAAAGTCGTCCTTAACCGATACACAATTATAGTCGCTTGGAGAGTAGGTGGAGATCGCAAACAAATTGCATCTCTCTATCTGGCCTCTGCTGATCCGGCATGAGCCTTGAGGTCGAACCGCACACAACTGGCTGTCGATCGGGAACCAAAAGAGCAGCGAAGCATCAGTTTCGTCACTCAATGCGATGCTAACATCAGCCGAGACAGCTGCTTCTGTATCACCAGACAAATATAGGAAATATTCGATCCTGAGATTGGCAGGGAAAGTGAACTTAACTACGGTGTTGGAGTCCTGCAATCCAGCTCGGAAGGATAATAAATATTGATAGCGAAGGACTCCAGGGTGTACGCTAAGCCAGCTTATTGACCAATCTGCAAAAGGGTTCGAATATTGCAGACTACAACCCACAATGGAGACCGAAGTCGAAGGAGGGGCACTGATAGGACTTTTTGGACATGAGCGAGGCTATCATCGGGAGATGATTCGAAGGAATTATCAATGAAAGTAAGGTTGCCAAATGATGGGGGTGGGTAAGCAGTGAACAGCGCAGAAGCACGAGAAAGACGTAGTAGTTGTAGTCGCGGAATCCATGGTTCCTGTAAGTGGACGAGATACGCGGTTGTCCAAGCCGAAGTAGAGAGTTAACTTAATGTACCCCACCTAGAGCGTTTGGCTCAATAGCTTACCCGCAAGGCAGTAGAGCGAAGCCAGGAGAATAGCGCCCATTGGGAGCCAGTAACCTATCTCTCGGTTCATACACTTGACTTAGGAATTCACCAAACTGGGGCCTAATCTTCCCGCGAAGTGAGCAATCAGTTGCAAGAATACAATGCTCCACCGGGGTGAAGCAAGGGACAGTGCCGTAATTCAGTGGCGAGTCACATCCGCCACGTCATAGGGTTGTTAAGCAGACATACGTAGCTTTTATATGGAGAACGTTGGAACACTGCAGCCTAACAATTGTCTGGAACGGGATAATCCCGAACCAGCCAGCTGGCACCAGGAGGAGGCAGTTCGGCAAGCCAGCCCGATGTCTTACCTATCATCAAGTACTGCCTGATCGTAAGCACCAGCATGTGCAAATCTGATAATGTGGATCATGAGATAATTCAGCGGCGCTTCACCTAAAGCTGTTTGGATATCTTAAACACCTACTGTGAGCGCTGAAAGAGCCTTAAACCTTATCCCATTTGGTTCCATAGAATGACGTTCAAGTTATGCCACTTATTCGGAATCGTACAACATTATGCTCACAATGAGGTGAGCGTGTGCGTTTTACAAAATGACCAGTAACCATTACGTGATAACGGTTTCAAAATCATCGTCCCAAAAGCGAAGATAAGGATGACAGAACAATTTTCATGATAGTATAACCAATGGTTTGGAACAAGTTAACAAAGAATAATAAATAGATTGGTAGCCTACAGGAGTTTAGCACAAGGAAAGATTTTGTCTCACGGTAGGGAAAGTAATCAGTGTTGCCAAGGTATCATAAACCTTGACAGATGAGTTCTATAACATTGTTGGCAGCTTTTGACAAGTAAGAATGGAGGTCGTTTCATATGAACTATTTAGGGCAAAAAAATATTTGGTTTCCTATTCTGGAGTATCATAGCCTAACTGGCGGTTCTCATATCACCATGAAGCTGTAAGGAGAGGCACTCGAATACTTGTTTTTAATTCCCGCTCTACTGTTACTTTCTTGCTCTATTCGGTCATGTTCAACTGAATGCTGTCATGTCCACATGGAAGATGGAAAGAAAAAATTTACTGATTTTCATCTCCAACCTCTTCTTCCTCGACCGTGATTAAGTGGAGGTGATTGTGTGAAGCAAAAACTAAAAGGGATTAAAGAGCCAATTCTGCATCCCAATTCTTTGCGCCCTAGTTCCAATATACCCTCCTTTGGTACCCAGTATCGTTCACATGCCCATGTGAATTGATGACGTAAGATGTCCTGGTAGCTGGACCTCGTGTCCTTAGTGCGAGACCAGTGCCGCAGTGTCGTTAAGTACACGCGAGAATGTCTAAAAGAGCTAAGCGAATTAGTGTATTTAAGTTTCCACTAGCTTTCGCCTGCCGACATTCTGATGGAATCATTATACGCAACTTCTGTTCTCGGTTAAATTCAGTCAATTCGTCCATGTAATATACCACGGGTGAAATCCGTGATGGCAGCGAATAGAACTTGAGCACTTGAAAAGTCCACATGAATCGACGGAGCTCAAACGAACAGTACAGGACACAAAAGAAATCCCAGCAATTCTCCAACATTCCGACATCCCTTACCGCCTATCACTTGACATTTGTATCTAAACACGTTCACCTATTCCTATGCGAGAGCAGAAACGATTTGTATGTATGGGACCGGCTTTACGTAACCGCGAGAAATATGATGTTTACTAATTCGTTACATCAAGTGAGATCAGTTAGCTTTGTGGCACTCATGCTTGGGCATAAGGGAAAACTGTTGGTGCGACGTTGTTCGACATTTTTTCTATAGCATCCACTATATGTCGTACTTACGCAACTGCATCGGTAGAGAAGACATGGGTGTCTGTTCGTGTTGCAATGTATCCTGAATGTATCTTAATCCCAATGGATGGAATGTGCGCGGCCGGATCACACAGCAAGTAAGTGATTAGTGCCGCTTAACAAAATCACCGTGTGGTCTATGGAAATCGGCATTATGCTGACGTTTTGTAATCGCCAAGTTATAAGTTAGGGGCTGTTTTAACTCACTTGTTGGTTTATCGTTTCGACTCGCTGGTCTTTGAAGTGAACTTTCAGCCAATTTACTATTCGCGATGATGGATCCACTATGAAAGGGCACATCGTGGTCTGAATTGGGGAAGGAGATTGGAGTGTGTTTCAGTCAAATCTGAGGTGGGTCAGTGTGTCACACAAACGAAACGAAAATAAAACTGGCGCGAAGTGAGCATAGACCGTTCTCAAAAATCTAAACAGAGTGGATGTGCACTGCTATTCGCAGGACCGGGCTTCAATCCGCTCGCGAGTCAAAGAACGCGAATTTCTGCGAAAATGCGTTTATTTCTTGCAGCATGTGGCCGCATTACCGTTCAAATGCATGATACATAATGCCACCTATTCCAACTGCAATTTTGCGTACATGACGGTCAATATTACTGAGGCCGTTGTGACAGTCACTAAACACCGGCAATGCTACTGTTTTCTACTTACTTATATGTGGTGGCTGTGAACGTGGACTCATGGACTCATGACGGACTAATGACTATCACGCAAACGGATTCCCATTAATAGGAGAATACGGAACGAATAGGGGAAGCAAAATTTCGTACGTCAGCTGGTTTCTTTCCCATTTACACCCTGATAAACGGAACGTTAATATTTAGTCGGAAAACTGGGAAAGTGAAGTAGGTAGAGCAACGTACAACAACAAACTGTAAAATGCCGCAAAGAAACATGGATAATGGTGTAGTCTGTAACGAGAAAATAAGCAAAAATTATAATCATTTATCTTACTCCGTTCGACTCTTTGGTCCCCTGTTAAGCGTACAGAAGAATAATGTCAGGTGCATCTTGGGTAGACATTATGTAGCGCACGAAGTCTTAGCACAATATGTCTCGGGTGAAAACTTGGTGGAACTAATACCAAAAATAGTGAATTTTGCACAGGCAACATGGGTATGGTTTTGATCCAAAGGGAAACGAAGTGCTTGCATAACTCCTTTACTGTTAGTCAGATAAGATAAAATCAAGTGATTGACGATTGTTGGGTGCTCATCAGACGATAAATCTAGGGAAAGCCGACGAAGCATAGGTCTCCGTGCCACCATTCATAAGTGCCATAATAGCTAAACATCACTCCGGTAACGGTATTGATGGCATTGGTTTCCCTATTCCTCTATCTGTCTCTATCTATTGTTGATGCCCACTAAATTTATGGCTGCCACTTTTAGGTTAACGCTTCAATGTTAACTAACCAACGACAGTCGTATTGGTTGCTTAGATAATTATACGTGAGATCTTCCAACACTAGTGGAATATGGCTGTTTTTCTTACATTCAATCCATACTCGCGCACGTTCGTAGTGTTATTGCTCATGAGGGTTATTGTTTCTACATCTAGTTTGTGGTAGTCCATACACAAGTGTGAACAAATGCCCGTTCGCAACACTGCAGTACTGCAACTCGAACCAGGAACCTTTGGCATGACAATTGATATCTGATGTTGAATGACTAAGTGGAAGCCATTTAGAAACACTTGTAAGCGCCACACTTCAACCTGACAGACTGATGGCATTTTCAGTCGCGCGACATCATTACCTGCTTGCTCGATGTCTAAATGGGACTCGACTAAATTACAAGTCCCACTAACATCTGTTCGTATTTCAATACATTCCCACTTGACAGATTTTATTACATTTATTATCGTGTGACACCGTGACTTATTGCGGGTTGCAATATGAGGTCAATGTATTCCATCTCAAGTGTCTCTGGACGCACGCCCCCTTGTGCTGCTGCCGCCTTCAGGTAAACGCACTGAGATTCAGACAAGTCATCAAGGTTGATTCCCGGAGCAGCGGCAACACGTTGTGGCATCCAAATCGAAATGCTTGCGTACAGGTAGCATTCTAGACACTGATGAATTGGTCGACATATGCTAGCGGTCAGAACAAATGACCAGGGGGAAATAAATAGTAACACACGACGGACTGCCTGGTGGTTCTACATCCTTGTTGATTCCCGCCCACCTAGGACAAGAGACGATTATAACCGGCTCTGGTTTTACCTTCAGACACAGATAGCCTGTAGTGGACGTGATCACACCATTTCCCTGCTTGCTTACTCCATCTCTGGCATTTTCTTTGTGTCATTCTTAATCTATATCCCTCATGAAGTCTCGCATGGGAACAGCTTCATTTTAGAATGATTAACTATGACTTGGTGCAATGTGATATCTTTATTGCACATGCCTAGAACGGATGAGCCACAGCTAACCTAACTTTATTAGGCTTATTTAACTCGGTTGTATTTCGCAATGACTTCACATGTTGCCCATTGCAATGTTGTACTCATCACGACCTATGCTATGCTATTCTTGCTACCTTCTCAAGCGGAGTTTAGTATGGTGACATACCGAGACAGTGAACTACGGCATCTTCCTCTTCGTATTATTATTCGGCTGCGATTCACATCACTATGTAAGCTCCATGGTATCACTCACCAGACTATGCTATCTACAATCTGCTTGAAATCGATTGGTAGATTACATAACCGTAGCTTGACCAGCTGCTCAATGCTAACTAGCATGACGCTTAGAAAGCCGGTGCATCGCAGAAGAATGGTTCAGTCCATCCATGAGCTCATTCGTATTTGACGTTCAAGCGGTGTGCTTGAATACGGATCAATGCTAGGGTGGCAAATTATTGGGTATGTTTCCAGTTCGATGGATACGTTTGAATCAAAAGGTTATTATCGCTTGGCCGTTTACAATACGCATAAAATGTCATATTTGACATTTGGAACACAATGCTCAACTATTGTCCTTCGTGTGACCAGTTTGGATTATGCATTCGAAAAGAAATTTCCCTGGAAATTCTGTGGCAAGTGAACAATCCCGACAATTAACTGACTAGCGATTATCACGATGTCGCCATTTCATGTTCCATTCCGCAGGCTAGTGATGACAGCGAGCATAGTTATAGTTCCAGTTGTCCCTCAGCCATACTGAATTTACCGGGGCTTATGAAAACACATGTACTAAACGGATGAAAGGCAGACGTGCAGAGACGCCTATCAGAATTTGCATTGCACATGGTCAATCTGTTGGATAGACTAAGTAAAAGGTTGAACCTAACGAGAATGGTACATCGGAAAGGAATCGACGCATACCGACAATCGTTTTATGAGCACCGAATGACTGCACCTGAGACGTACTATATAGATGGTTAGCAAATAGCTTATGGCCACAGTAGAGTACACGTCGGTAGGTATAAACGGTTGAATACTTGGATATTTGCACAAAAGTTGCGAACACTGCCTGGAAAGTCGCATGTTTGACAGTGGGCAGCGGGACTTAGTTGATGTTACCTGTCAATACCAAAGGGTGCGCGTCAATCGTTCTTTGAGTAGGTGCACATACCTCGGGCAGCAGATGACCGAATCAGTCGGAGACACAGAGAGCCAGAAGTGGACACTGAATCGCATTCGCATGAGGTGTGATCATCTCCCCCATCAGCTATGCAAATCAGACTGTACATGTAGACAGCAACACCTAAGTGCCCACTATTTCACTGTACCAGTAGTCTAGTCATCATTCTACCTAGCAGTTGCTTTACTATTGCCACATCGGATTCCTTCAAATATGGATGCCCAAGATTTAAGGCTGTGACGTCTGAATGTTGAAGAAAACATCAAAAGTTCGTATTGGGTAGTTATCCTCATACCTGCGAAAGTGGTTGTTAGCCTGACCTCCAAACGAAACCCATACACGTTTGTCGTACCATTGATCACTATGTCTAATGTGTATCTATCCAGTTTGTGACAACTCAGACTTAAGTTTGGATAAACGCATGTACATATGTTGTATTCGAATTGCCATTGGACACAGATGACGCCAATCTACGTATATATGTATACCGAATGAATTCGACGCGGATACTCATACCGCTTTTGTACGGCTAACTTAGTGCAGGAAACGGTTCTCGAGCAAACCGAAAATAACATTATCAGAACGTGAAGAAGGTGAGTTTATGACAAACTTATGTTGATTTCAGTTGTTGCGAATCCAAGGCAAATTTAATCGATGCGAACTCTGTGGACTGTTCATAAGGGCGGTTGCTCAGATGCAGGAGAAGGTACTATTGCACACGGAATAGAAGCATGATGCATACGCTCCCATCCGATTTACTAATCCAGGCCACTAAGGCGGCGTATGTGGTACGTTTGCCTGTGTGATGAGTAATCTTGCATTTCAGAAGTAGATGTTGTTTGAGCTCCCCGGTGTGGATGCGCTTGATGTGAATGTTGACAAGGTGCCTACCTGTCTATTACCCACTACCTCTTCCATACTGGCTCCAGGAGACAGTTGGTCGTTGCTAATGAGGACGGGGTGCACCGTCCTCGTGACGGTGCTAGGCTTAAAGAGTGGTTCCATCCTGTGTGGAACGGGCTACGGTCCAGCCACCGCCTAGTGTACCTCTGTTGTGTATGAGTTCCCAATTAGGCCGGAATGCTTCCGTTCTGCTTGTTGAAGGAGTGTGGGCCGGCTCCGTTGATGAAACGTGGCTCCCATCCACATGCCTCCCGGTCTTATTCAATCGGGTTTATACCGGATATGGGATGCGTGGGTGGAACTGTCGGTGGTGCAGCGCAAGCCACCCATAGCCCCCTTTGTAGGCGCAGACGTCCTATTGCTGTCCTCATGGAGGCCGCAGTGACAGGCAAATCCGGATACGGATGCCGCCATTATATATATATATATATATATATATATATATATATATATATATATATATATATATATATATATATATGGTGCGTATATCGTACCAACAGCGTTGTGACGGAAGAAGAAAACAAGGTTGGAATAAGAATAACAAGAAAATAGAACACCTTTTCGCTGGTTTGCAGTTTTTGAGAATTTTAATTTTTCGTTTTATTGGGGAAGGGAAGGGAAATCCTCGCAACGCGCAAAAATACACGCCTGCCATTGAGGTCGATCCTGAACCACGACTTCCAGGGTCTCTGTTAGGAAGGAATAGGCGATGCGAACAAGCCAGGACCTCATCGCCGCGGTAAGCGATCCAAACTCATCCGCCCTAATTGGGGCGAACAGAGAGCCAACCGGGAGAAGCGGCCAGTTAACGCGAGGGCGTGCCTACCCTGAAACCTAGGCATGAATAGTATGACCTTACCCGCGCAAACCCCGAACGCATACAAGATACCGTATTCAATATCCAAACGCAAAACCCCTATCAAAATGCCCTTATGATCAAATCACCACCCTAGGCGCCATAAGTTCACATGTCACGAATGGCCTCACCTTACCGACTACACACAGGAACCATAGGTGTGCCCGCTTACTGTCTATGATAGATCAAGTTCCTTACCCTCTACCTCAACCGTGGTCTCGGGCCTCACCCAAACCTCATGAGCGCCGTTAAAGCTACCCAACACCCGTCGAAGACCCAAACTGAAGACGACGCTCCAGCGCCATACTTCTTGCCGGCAACCATGCACCCAAATTCGGCAACGCCCCAACAGTTCTTGTCACGTGAACCACATACCGCTCCAACACACAGAACCAGACCGTACAGCTAGACCCCAACCGTCAAGCCGACCGCCACGTGGGTATACGTCACACATAGCATCATAACCGAATATTTCGTACGACCTCTTATCGGCCCTCAACGTTAAGAATTCTAAGGTGAACGCCTCGATACAATACCGTCAATATAAGTCTCCTAATCCCTAAGTCTCCGCGTAGCAATCATCCTCAATTCCCCTACCCTCAATCATAACCTCCCCCAATTCCCTGTCCCCTCACATCCAGTTAAAGTCGCACCAAAACAAAATGCCACAGCACCCGCTTCTCGACAATCCCATAAGCCTGACGACTGACAAAAGCTTATTGTCCAACACAAATTCTCTCCTGTTACAACGCCACAACTCCCCCCTGCGACCCCATCCGAGCCGCACCCCCCTTATTCCCATTTCATATCTCCTACCTTGATAAACCCTAACTCATTCCACTACCCCGACTCTCTAGCTCGCACAATCGCCCACCCTCTCTCAAACCTTCCTCACCTTAACCCCATCCAGGTCAATGTAAAACTACATATTCCACCCTAAGCACCCCCTGTGACCATCCTCTCAAAACTCCCCCTTCATCATCGACCCCAATCCCCCTGCCCACCCCCGATCCACACTACCCTCCCGCACCCAGCCATCCATCCCCCCTCAATCATCCCCACCTCTCCTCCCCCTTCAGAACATCAAGTCTCCTCCCGCTACCCCCGCTCCCCGTACAACAATATCAAACCCCTCCCCCCCGTCCCTTGCTTCTCGCGTGCCTCAATGACCCCTATCCCCCATCCCATAGCCCCTCCCCCTCTTCTCAACCCCCACCCTCGCAATCCATAGATTCTCAATGTATGTATCGATTCCAAAATATACCTATATTTCCCTACCAGGCCCTCCAGAAAATCCCCCCTTAGACCACAACTTTTCCAACATTCAACGCACGTGCCGATCCAGATAGCATGCTCAAGGCGGAACAAGAATTCATAAGCTAACCGACAACAAAATTTGACCCCACCAAGACAGCACACACTACCCTTTAACCCTCCCTTCCACAACATTCATCTGCGCCATATTCACGTCTCTCCTCTACACTACTCTAAACACGTGGACCATGCCCTGTCCCACTGCCCATCTACAACCTGCAAGCACCCTGCCACTTACAACCCCCCAAACACGACCCATCGCCCCCTAATGCGTCTCCAAATGAATGCACCCCTACCCACCTCCGCCCCCCCCGCAGTTATCCAGCTACCAAATAAACCGGAGGTACGTACATCCAGGCTCTGCAAATTATGCTTTGCATCCTATATCGCTATTAAAAATCACATCATTTTGCACCCGTCTTGATTCTATTACGACCAACCTGTCCATGAACCAAAAAATGCCACAACTAGTTCCACGTGCCAGTGTGCACCATCCCACCCCAGAATCTACCAACCGCTGTCACCTACCCTGACATCCCACCCCCTCAGGCTGCACTTGAAAACCGCGGACCCACTACTTACTGTTTCTGCCCCCCCCCACCCCCTGAAACAATTCCGTCAACCCCTGTGCAGCCAACCCGTACCAGAGAAAATCACCTGACTAGTCACGTCATCACCACGACTCCAAGACATCGCAAACTCACCACTGCACTTAAGTGCCAACCCCGGAAAAACCTTACCCACATCGCCCGGATCCGTTATGCTCTGCCATCTCTTAGTCCGTTAAAGATGAAGTCTTAACTATATCCGTATGTGTGGTAGCGTGCGATGGCGACCTCCGACCCAGTTGAACATGGCTTCATCGTGTGACAGGTGGCCAATTTTATGTCGTCAAGAAGACCAATATAACGAATGCTACACTATATCAGTTTACACAACATCGCGGTTCGAGTGGTCAATTCTTCAATGGTTCCCCATCCCACCACACATCAAAGTCCATACCTCTCCGTCGTGTAACAAATTTCTACCACACCTAGTGGATTATCAAACCAACTCCGTCCCGATGCCCTCCCTCTCGCTCCCATGAAACGTTACCAAACGTCAAAAAGCGCAAATTCATTAAATCTCCTTACAAATTAGGACGTCTCTTACCATCATATAGTACGCATCGGGAGGGGGGGGGGGGGGGGGGGGGGCCCGTGGGGGGGCGGGGGGGTCAAGGGGGAGGGGGGGGGGGAAGCCCCCATAACTATACATAAATACACCTCACTCTCTATACGTCAATCATTAAAAATTACATTGCCCTCCTTCACCTTCCCAACAGCACATCAAAGGGGGGTGAACCGGTGGGGAGGCGGTGGGGCCAACCGCAAAAGCTGAGCAGCTGCATTGAAGCATCCTCAACCCGACACTCGTAACACACGCTCGTCCCATTACATATGCTAACCCATTGCCCGTAACCTGTCCCCTCCTCATGTGTGATGCACAAAAAAACCCCAAGTGTCAACCCCCTGCCCTCTATACAACTACGACGGGCATCGCCCATTAACCCTCCCATCTCTCCTAAATCCCCCCATACCCTTCCCTCTCACCATCACAACCATCACCTACCCCCCGAACACTCGACTTAAAGCTAATTTGAGCCTACTTAAACTGTAGCACCCCCACCTCTCACCTCTGCATCAACCTACACTTGAACTGTACAACAATAACTCCTGTGCCAAACGCCTGAATAATATCGTATAAGCTATAATTCCCAGAACAGCAAGGTCCTGCATGTCCTGATGGTACTGGTCATCGTTTTAATCCACAAGACGGATCGAACGTTCTATCAAATCCGATTATACTACACCAACCACCCCCCACTAACCGCCCCCAGGTAAGACCATCGGTGTCAGGCCCGTCATCAGGAACCCCGTTAAACGTTTCGCCTTTTGGCATAACTCAGTGCCACCCACTTCTATGTCCCCCAATCTAAACAAAACATAAACCAATTTTCCGTATTAAGCCCCTGGCATTAAAGCGTGCACGACTCCGCACACGTGTGATCCCACTCTTCTAGCACAATTTGCAATTAAAAACCACTAGCACCACCCAGCCACTTCCTTTCGCCACTTACCCAAACCTTTCCCCCCTGCCAACATACGCCACTCTTGCTCCCGGGACCTCCCCGGCGCAGTCACCATCTGGACACCAGCATGACTTGAAATACACATCTACATAAGCAAGTCATTTCCATAACTAACGACGATGCTGCATTCATGAGATTCTTCCTTTGGAGCAGTTAAACGAACCTACTCCAGCGAAACATTCAGCGCGTAGACGAAATACGCGTAGCTGTCCAGTCAACTACTCTGTATAGGTTCACTTACAGCTTTCCTAGCCCGCCTCGTGCGAGTAATTAGACTAAACTTCGTATATTTGGTGCAACTGCACTTTACAAGGTGCAGTTTTGGGAGTGACGGTCCATGTACCATCAGTGACTGTGTTTTGGCTTACCCCAAGCGCAAAAGCATGATAAACATTCGCTCCCACGCTACATTTTGGATGTGGCGAAGTGTAGTTAGGCAATCAAAGAAAGTCAGCCTATGACGGATTATCGCATTGCATGTACCCTGGACCGTGGCACATACTCGAGTGAAGAAGCAACATTGTCCAATCAAACAGTAAACTAGATCCTAAACATTTTCCATAATGTGGAGGAGACCTGGGAAAGTGGTGACAGGTGGTATACATAAACAGTGCATACAACGGTTAGATTATTAGTGAGATAATGACGCTACAATACTCAGAACATCTTTGTCCACAGAAAAGCCATCAGTAAATGGACAGAAATGGGTTGATGATACTAAACATGGAGTACGTTGCTGACAAACACTACACATAGACAAATCAACTTTCAGACACAATACGGTTGCTGTCGTCACATTCGAAGATGGGAACCTACGCAGATGAACCCGCAGCCACAGTAAAACTGGACCTGGAATACCTAAATTACTGAAACTGGTGGATAGTCAGTTATACAGGTGGGGCCAATGAAGAAACAAGCGGATTCCATCGGTTTATTACAGAGCATTTGCTATTATGCCAATCAAATATGACAACAGTTCGGTATTAATGGCTGCTTCCAAAGTGGCACCCGAGAAAAGAAACTCTAAAGCGGAAGCAAGCTTGTTCAAAGGCGTCTTGCAAACCGGAATAAAAATTATAGGTTTCATTGGACGATCAGATAACGCAATGAGATTGTATGCCTTTATAAAAGTATCAGCTAGGCTACTGACCAACATCGTGAACAGGACGATGGAACATCGGTAGGTTGGGAAATTTGAGCTACTCGAGAAGATCAGTGAAAATTAGTCGTTCGTTATAAGATTAAGCATACACAGTGAGGTTTCGTTTCCAGTTTACTACGTAAGCACTCACCTCTAAGATCACTAAAGCGTTTTCACCTGACAGCCGGTCTGAAGGCAAACCTTCGTTCCTCCAGACCGTTTGTTCGCGCTCCGTGGTGAGAAAACGACGGATATCGAAAATTTTGGTCTCGGTGACATCTGTATTTCCAAAAGACGCTGGTTGGCACAAGAACTCTTCTGGTATGTTCATACCAAACTCAACCAGCTGTTTCATCCATTTGCTAAGCTGGCACTGCCGTTCGTCTTCTGGGCTTGCGGATAAGTAAGTGATGAAGGCGGAGGACAGCATAGCTAGTGGAGGTAACGCTGCCGAGTGGGTCGCCAGTTCTTTCACCTACAATGTATTCGATAGTAAGACCAACCGTCTGAAATTTAGTATGTATTTAGTATGTATTATATCATGAGGACGTATGACACGGACAGCGCTGTTAATTACATGCTTCTTAGGCATTCAGGGATGAACAAGTTAGGTAAGGTAGCAATAACACAAGGAACTAGGTTATGAAAATCTTACTCAAACGTAGATGAGTTAAACTGACTAAGTGCCGAGCTTCCGTGACCGGAAACAAACACATCCAACAGGTTAAAATATTCAGAGGGCACGCTGGACCAAGAGGACTTTTACATAATCTATACGAAAGCACCAAGGAACCCGAGCAATGATAGGCCATCTAGGCAGCAGGCGATCACACAACACTGCAAGATGACCTTGACTGGGTTCACTAGAGATCGAAGCATAGTATGCTCCTGATAAGGCGGGTAAATGAGAAGTGTTGGGCATACGTAATCACGAAGCTCACGAGTAGCAGCTGAGGTAGAAAATATGAAACCGCGTTTGAGCCTGGCTATTCGAAATAAACCGAAAACACACAGGAGAAAATTGACACGTGCTCTGACCTCTATTGGACAACGTTCGGGATGTTAGATCTTTCTAGCTTTCTGCAAAGTCTTAATGATTGCGGGAGGTACCATGTAGATTACGATACAAGCCTGACAGTACAGCAGGACACGGTCTTGCTGCCAATGAGTATCCTAAGCAAATAATTCTTAGGTTCAATTCAGCATCCAATATGAATTTGCATCGAAGGCCCTTGCAGTGTACAACGGACAAAACAAACCTAAGTAGGGCGTGCATGTTTCTCGGGAACCACAACTACGTTTGCAGCCATCATCTGCAGCTTAATCCCAACCTAACTTGAAGGCCACTACTTAAAGTTGGTTACGCTGGAAAGCCGGCGGGAATATCGCTGAAAAGTTTCCCAGTCTGCGAGTATGTCAGTCCTGGCTGGAGTGCATAGACAAGAAACAGTGATTTTGCCCCTATATAATCAGGATCATTTAAGACCAATCTAGGTTTTGGAAAACTGGTAGCTCGGGTTGATAATTCAATTGCTCATTTGTTCGCCGAGCTGCGAAATTGGTTTGCAAACGTTTCACCGTCATGCGAGACGGCATCATCAGTGCGTCGAGATATGCAGTGTAATCTCGCTGATTGTATTGTCGACCTCCAAGAAAAGAATCAAATCACGAAGGAGGAGAGCGAACGAATGAGAGCCCGTGACTCGAGAATCGCGCAATTCTATGGACTTCCAAAGGTACACAAAGATGATGCACCATTACGACCGATCGTGTCATTACCAGGAACACCCACCTACAACTTGGCGAAAGAAATGTGGAGACGCCTCAAACATCTGACCTGCGGATCGCAATATTCCATTAATAATGCCCAGCAATTTCTACAAAAGCTCAAAAACCTGCGAATAGATGATGATGAAACAATGATATCTTTCGACGTGACTGCCCTCTTTACGTATGTAAACGTACAAATGGTAACAACAGTAAACACAGAACGCCTGAACAGCAGTGAACAACCAATCGGGAACCTAACGACCGAAAACGTATGCAAACTACTGCAGTTGTGTCTGTCAACCTACTTCTCTTTCAACTGGAAGATCTACGAGCAACTGAAAGACGCACCAATGGGATCACCTATATCGGGACTCATCGCGGAGATGGTAATGCAGAAATTGGAGGGAGATGTACTCCCATTCATTACTCCGAAACTGTGGGTCCGATATGTTGACGACACTTTTGTGATCATCAAACGCAATCAAGTTACAGTCGCACAGCAGCTATTGAACAACGCCATTGAAGACATCCGGTTTACAATGGAAATGGAGAAGGAAAACCAACTGCGTTTCCTGGATGTCTTGGTAACCAGAACCATGGAAGGGAGGCTGCAAACATCATTTTACAGAAAATGGACACATACGGACCAAATTCTGAATTTTAACAGTAACCATCCGAAATGCCACAAAGTAAGCTGTGTGCGGACACTATTTGGTAGAGTGCAAACACACTGCAGTACCACGGAGGCAAAGCAACAAGAAGAGAAGCACCTATTTAAATGTTTCCAACTCAACGGATATCCACGAAGCTTCATCCGAAGGTGTCTGAACCACAACAAACCAAACAGACAGTCTACACCAACGACGGAGAGACGCGTTGTTTTACCTTATATGAAGAATATATCCGAAATGGCAGCAAGACTATTCAAACAACATCACTTCATCGTAGCACACAAACCAACTGCTACACTGAGAAAATCTCTGTCGAAACCGAAAGAGAAACTGGAAGCTCATGAGCAAAGCAATGTTGCATATAGACTACTTTGTAGAAATTGCGAAAAGGACTACGTTGGCCAAACAGGCAGAAAATTAACAACAAGATTACAAGAGCATAAAAGAGCATGCAAAAAACACTATGCATCTTCGCTAGTCTCAGCACACGTGGATGAAAAAGAACACAGCTTCGACTGGGCCAACACAGAAGTCCTGGCACGAGATGAAACCAGAAGAGCAAGGGAATTCCTGGAAGCGTGGTTCTCAACACAAGACTCGATCAACATGCATATCGAGATTGACCCGGTTTACCAACCCCTCCGACGGAGAGAACTTAGAGAAATTATGAGAAATTATGAATAGGAACAACCCAAGCGACGACCTCCGCCACGGGGAAATGGGTAGAGATCACGGGACTCAGATCGAAGCCGTCACTTTCGAAATGTCCCCTGCACGCCGATCACGGGTCGACAATTCAATCAGCGAGATTACACTGCATATCTCGACGCACTGATGATGCCGTCTCGCATGACGGTGAAACGTTTGCAAACCAATTTCGCAGCTCGGCGAACAAATGAGCAATTGAACCAATCTAGGTTGTATGTTCATCACCAATAATGGGCGTATACCGATGACCAAACAAAGAACTCGTCTAGTCACTAATCGTTGCGATTTGCGTCACTGTTCCCCTCCCACTACCGGTTGCGTTTCTCGCCACTGCTGATTTGTGAAAAGAACGCTGGCAAGTGGATGGGACAGACATTATTTGAAACAATAGATGCGTAAATTGTGGATGAATTATGTAGATTGACCCTAGATATCAGCGTTCCTTCCTAAGTGCCGCTTCACTGCGTGTGTTTGAGTAATAGACTGTAACGTTCCAGGACGGCTTGGTATCGCAAAAATCTGACTTAAGAGACAAGCGTTGACTCACCAAGGGTAAATGAGCGAAAATTACAACACAGTATATTACCGAATATAAACCGACGATTTTTGGACATCATTACATTTCCGTGGACGCTAAAATAGTTGGGAAACAAGTACATTTCTTTTTTCTTGCTGATATTTTTGAGGGGTGGCTAATATAGGGATTTACGAGTTTGGACAAATTTGATATTGCAGTTATACTGTCGGCTTGTATTCGGTAATATACGGTATTTCATACAAGGAACGCGTCGACACACACTACTCGTGCGCATCCATTAAAAGACATTTTTGGGTCGACAAGATTCTTCTTTGGAGCAGTTAAGCAAATGAACACAAATGTAATCTGCGGCTGAGGATTGCTCAAATGAGCTACAGATAAACAGCACATATCGTGGATCAGTTTGATTTGTTGATTGCCATCCTTAGTCAAATTAGCGCCTGGGGATTTTTGACAGGTGATGGATGGTATGTTCATCGACAGCGATAATGCTGCATCCTTCTTGGGTGGTAATTCGGCTATTGGCGCGTCCCCAGATGAGCTAGCATATCGACTGGACAAGGGTGTGAATCTACTTAGAGAACATATGAGGTTTACGAACTCATAGGTGCAGTTTACTCTGCCGTAGTTGAAGTACTTAAGATTGGTACAAATTTGGCATGAACGTCTTCATGCGGCAGTCTCATGCCGTCACCCATGGCCCAATTATCTACCTCACTGTCTCGCAACAAAAACATTGTGAAATAACGGTCAGTAGGATTTGAGAAATTTGTACGATTCTAGCAGTTTTTTGGTGGGATGGAAGGGGTATCCAATTATTTTCGGATGTCAGACAGTTGTACGAATCAATGTAGCTGCGATTAACCCGCTCAAAATAACAGTTTGTCAACATTCCAGCACGGACATGCATGGTGATTCTGCGCACTCTTATTAGCGTCGTTAGTGACTGCTCAAATGTTCCCACTCTAGTTCATCTGCTAAGAAGGTCCTTAAAACTCCACTCATGAACTCGGTCAGGTGGGAATCGTCCCGGAGCATTTAAAAGTTACAGAAGGGGATTTGAATGATGTAATTAGAAAGTCATCACATCTGGACTCAGTCAGTTACACGCACGGAAAAGCACTTTATGGCCATTTCATCCCATCGGGGATCGTCAGCGGTGCGCTTTCTAGCTGACTTCTGTGTAGCTCAAACCCGAAACTCGACTGTTGCCACTCTGTGGTTGGGACCAGTGAACCACGGGGGACGGTAACGGCCCTTGTAACTAAGTTTTTAGTTGTGTTATAGCGCCACTCACTATCGAATGACTTGCACCTTACCACCGTGCACAGGACAGGGTAGCCCACTCACCAAGTGACGACCAGCTTTTGATGGGAGAAAGGATGTATATATGTCTCACCTCACACACCATGACCCAGTGATCACAACAACGGTTGCCACCGGTGCGATCAGCTGTTATTGGAGCTGTTTTACTCCATGCATTCCTACATGGCTCTGATAAGGAAGTCCTGCACGTGGCCTTATCACGTCCAAAAGGGGAGTAGAATCAGTTTCGGTTATGAAATGAAATTTGTCACTATGAAACAGTTTGTGTGCCTCAGCGATCCATTGAGCTATGCTGAGTGGTGCTTTTGCATCTTCAGAGTCGCTCATACCAGATTTCTCAACGGTTAGAGGTCAGACAAACTCAGCCTCCTGGTCCTCCAGGTTGGGGGTTGGAATGAGGGTGGCACCTCATTCCTTAAAACGGACTCCTTGTAGACCAATGTCAAACCCGCTGCCTTACGG